CCCCCCCTCCCTACCCTCTCACTTCTCGTGCAGCCTCCTCGCGGGCGCGTCGAGCGCTGGATGGATGGGTGTTGTAGTACTTATGTACGTTGCGTCTGTAGTTTATTTTCATCTCTCTCTCGTTTTTTGTCAGAGTCGTTCGGAGAAAGCGAAAGCTTTAGGGACGACTAAGTACTACGTGCATGGGGCGGGGTGCGGGGCGGGCGGGGCCTTGTCGCAGGATGAGAAACTGTGTTTTGTATTTTGTCGCTTTGTTACGGACGGGACATGTAAGATGTGAGTACGTGCGCCACGGACGTGAAGTATCGGGGATTTAAGAGTGGTTACGAAACAACGTGCTGTTCAGGGCGCGGACTATACAAAAGAACGAGGCGGGATTTTTAAATGTCCATATTCGGGGTGAAATCTCCCTGCCCTGCCCTGGACCTTTAAGCCCTGGACGAGTGAACTGGGCTGAACCGAGGGTCGGTTTGGGGCAGGCTATGACACCACCATGTAACCCATGTGAAGCATGTCACGGCGGCCACGACAACGCGGCACGGTCCACGGTCCGTGAGCCGAGCAACCGGCCGCGCTTGTGACCCGTGCGACCCGTGCGACCCGTGGGTTACCTGACCCTCGCGCGCGCGCGTGTCCACGCATCACTTTGGACCACGCGGGGTGGGTGGTTATTGTTGGTGGGGTAGCATGTGTGCATGCGTGTGCGAGCCGGGCGTTGACCTCCCTTCTAGTATTCGCAGCCGGCTCCACACTCTCCTCTTCCCTCTCCCTCTCTCCATCCCCTCCCTCCCTCCATCCCCTCCCTCCCTCCATCCCCTCGGTCGGCCTGGCCTGGCCAACTGGTTTGTGCAACTTACTCGTGAGCACTTGCTCGCACTGCTTGTGGCTCGTGTCGTGGGACGATGGCGTCCTGCCTGGAATCAATAAGGCTTTGGCGCTGCGGGTGCGCACGCCCAGCACAGTAAGCACACGCTCAGCACATGGCAAGCGAACGCTTAGCACACGCTCAGCGCACGCTCAGCTCACGACGAGTATACGACCAGCACACGCTCAGCACAAGCTCCGCCAACGCACCCAGAGAACCATTTAGTTGACTAAATCAGGGTCGTAAGAGACAAAATTTAGTAATCTTATTTTTAACTAAATATGGCCCCACCAATCAAACTAAGTCAGTTTGACTAAATGATTTCATCGTCTTGAATAAAATTTGGTTTTCAGAGCTAAAACTTAATCGATTTTGCATTTGGTCCTCTGGACTAAACGGTCTTCTGGGTGCGCTTGATGTTTGCCGTCGGGCAGCGGAGGCGCCGTTCTGGTGCGATTATCTGCCCGCTTTTCTCGCGCCGCGCCTTTGGCTTTGCGGCTTGGCGATTGCCCTGCGGAGGTGCAGATTGGCTGCAGGAGGGAGGATAGCAAGCCGCCGCGAGGGAAGTCCTGGTGTCTGTCGTCGAGGCGGCCGGGGCGGGGCGCGGGGCTGCTGCTACGAAACTGTCGCGGTTAGCCACGCCCCGCCCCGCCCCGCCACACCACGCCCCATTCCTCCGCTGGCGTGCATGGGGGAAAGTGACTGTGTGGTCTGCACCGTCACGATGATGGCGGCGGCGGCGTCGCGCCGCTGTCCGTTTGGGAGGGTGTCACTTTGGCGTCACTTTGTCCCTCACTTTGGCGTCACTTCGGGCGCCACCACCTTTGGCGCACCCTGGCGCACCTCTATATACTCGCCTTTTGACGTGACGTTTATCGCGCTCGACGTGTTGTGGCCCGAGCGTATCTCATTATGACGCCATCGGGTAAAAACCATTCCCGTCTAATCCTGCTTTTGCTGCTGCTCAAGGCCCCCTTTCCTACCGCTGCCCCGTCTTCCCAAATGTCCATCGCCGCCGCGTTGCCGTGCCGTCATTGTTGTTGTAGTTTTATTTTCCCCCTGTTGACCCCCCCCCCCACACACACACACACAGCCGTTCTGTTATCGCGCGGAGCGTGGTGGAGCCGGCAGCATCACGCGGGGTCGATAAGAGACGAGGTGCCCGGCCCATGGGCCCAGGTGGATGGCATGGCAGCGGTCCGACCCGGCTCCGACCTTGATGGCCCCAAAGCCCCAACTCCTGCCTGCGTCGCCTAACGGAACTCGACGCCGGGTCCTTCCTTGCCCCGGGAGCCTGCTCCAACAACAACGCCGCCGCCGCCCACCGTTGCTCTGCCTGCCGATCGCATCGCTCTTGAAGAAAGGAGGCGAGAGAAAGAGAAGAGGCCTCGGACGGGAAAATATACTTGAAGCGTTTGACGCTGAGACCGACAAGACCAGACCGAGGAAGCATCACTGTGAAAGTGAACACTGCGGAAAAAAAAAAACAAAGGTGCGATCGAATGTCTGTTTAGAGGCGTTAGTGAAATGGCGCCTTCACCAAGACGCCACTGGCCCTGAAAGGTGCTTTTTCGCAATCTTAGTGCCTATATAAAGTACAGTAGCACCTTGAAAAGGTGTTAAATAGCACATTTCTGTTTCCAGTGAAGCAGAGTGAGTCTCCTACTCGTCTACTAGTGTGTATTGCTGGTGGCGCTCGCTCGGCCGCAGTGCGTCCACTGTACGCCCACCGCCCACCCGCCCTGCTCCGCTCGCTCCCGCGGCCAAGACGTCACCGAACGATGTAGAGACGCGACCGCCTTCTTATCACCTCGCGAGCTCAATGGACGTCTGACCCGCCCCGCACCGTGACGCGACCACCACCGCTCGGTCATCATTTCTCCCACTCAGCACCACCCCGTCATCGCGCTCCCAGAGGCGTCCCTCCTCTACTCCCGCGCGGTCCGTTCCGTTGGACATTTCACCGAATTCGCCCGGGGTCCGGACCGGACCGGTCGGTGTGCGATGATGGCGCAACGTCGCCTGTCCGCCGGGCAAAACAACAAAGTGGAGGGACGTATCGTATAGTCCTTGTTTTCTTTCCTTCCGCGAAATGTTGCGCCGAGTTTGGCGGGTGGTTTGCCCTCGGTGACGTGAACGAGCCACCGCCGCCGCCGCGTGAGACCCCGGCTGAATCCCCCCCCCCCCCCCCTCCCCAAACTTTACACCAGCGCACCGCGCTAGTAATGAGATGCAACCTCATTTTGATTGGATTAGACCTTTCTTTTCCCTTCTGTTTTTCTCTGCCACGCATACGTTTGTTTGCCGGCGTTGTGTTAGGGCTATGCGGCCCCTGTTGGTAAAGGTCGTATGCGAGGCACTTGTTTGTTGTTTGTATGTCAGTGGCACACACTTACTTGGAAAGACTGCGTGCAGCCATATATTGTGCCTGCTGATCAAGTTGGCGTGTGGATGCAGGCGCGGATTAAGAGGGTGGGGGGGATTCCCCCCCCCCCCCCGTCGGTCGTATGTAGTGAGCCGCCTCCTGAAAGGTAGGCAATTTGCGCCACCAAACCTCTGTATGTAAGCAACCGACAGTGCATCGCGGACGTGGAGACGTCTTCCTCGAGGGGTTTTATGACTCGCTTTCTGGGTGCCTTTTCCCCTCTAAACTTCGGCCGGCCCGCCACTGTGGGCTGGTGAAAGCACTGGGGCCGTACCGTTTTAGATCAGTAAATATCTGATCCTGATATTGCTGAGGATGCAGTCAATTTCCTTTGGCCTCCTCCGATCTAATTTTCTTAAGCTAGAGCTTCTATGGTGGCTTGCCCAGCAGCGTCGGCGTCGGACGCCTGCTGCGGTTTCAGGTGATGGGTATTCCCTTTCTGCCTGTTTCAAGTCGATCTGGATCGGCCCCCGGTCGCTTGCGTGCGCGGTGGGGCCGGGCGCGCGGTGGGGCGGGGCAGTGGTCCGGCTCCAGGAGCAGCAGCAGCCCCACCACGAGGCCCTCCCAAAGCGGTTTGCGCGGCGTTGCTAAAAAGCAGGTTGCTGCTGCGGAGCCCGGGCGGAGCCTCGCCCAGTAAGGCGGCCGGCGGCCGATGCGTTATTGCGTCGCTTAGACCTGCAATCACACAGTGTTGGCTGCTGCGCCCCGCGCCTCAGCCAGCGGAGCCAGCCAGCGCCCCGGGCGGAGCAGCTCAGCGACTCGATTAGCCCGCCCTGCAGCAGCTCACGGCCAAACGAGGCTGCGTCTGCTGATTCCCATGCGCGCGGCTTGTCAACGCAACCCCGCCCGCGCACCTCACCCGGTGCCCCGCAGTTTTTACTAGCACACATTTGCAACATTGCAAACTTACACCCGTACCTCACCTCCCCCGTGTGCCAAGTAGGCTGCAGGACAGTCTTGTTGGTTTGGCTACCCGCTCTACCCGTAAGCCACACTCTGAAAGCTTAGTTCATATGTGCAGAATGTCCCACGGTTTCGAGCGTGAGACGCGTACGCTCGTCCCACTTGATGAGTTTTCAGAGTACGTGCAGGCGGGCTGCGGCGGGCTGCGGCCGCTAGAGTCGGCCTGGCTGGTCTCTGACCCGCGAGGTCTTCTGACCCGCCTGGCTGGACGGGGCGGGTGGGTGTGTGGGTGCTTGACTCGCAGGGGGGAAAGGCCATAGCCCGGCCAGCATCGAAGGCATGTAGGCAAGCGAGCCTCGGTGTTGTTGTGTGTGTACGTACGCCTGCTCCGTCTGGGGAAGCTCACAGAAACCCCTCTCTCAAGCTGCTGCTGCTTGTGACCATAGGCTAAGCGCATGTATGTTGTCGCTCTTTGGCAACAGGCCGCGACCGCTGCGGTGGCCCAGGGAATAACCGCCGAGCAGTGGTGGGTGCAACCCGGACGGCACACGACGGTACATACGGGGTCACGGGGCGGCGCGCTCGCGGCTCCCCTTTGTCTTCTCCCGCGGCTGTGACGGCGCCCTCCGGAGAGTGTCGAAGCTCGTCCTGTGCGCCGAGCGGGAGCCGAGAGGGAGCCGAGAGGGAGCCGAGCGCAGGGGATCAGGACGGTCATTACGTTCCCCGCTGCACAGGGCCGCCGCCGCCGCGTTGGGATGACCTCGGCGCAGCTGAGGCGGGACGGGACGCGGCGGCCGGCAGAGGGAGGACCGCGGTGCAGCGGGGCGGGGCGGGGCGGGGCGGGCGCGCTGCTACGCCGCGTCGCTGCGTGGCGCGCCGCGACAGCTGAACCAGCAGCAGCTCGCAGCGTGGCGCAGCTCAGCGCTCTGCTGCTGCTACGTATTCCCCCCAGGCCGCGCGCGGTTTGCGGCAGCCTCCGTTGTTTTGCCCGCATACTTACAGGAATAGGGGTTGCCGGGCGAGGGAAGCTCGATTCGCGAGGTGGGGAAGTAGAGTGCTGTTGCGGCGGAGGTGCGGTGCGTGCACTTGGATCGTTCGATCTATTTTATCCGTGCAGTACAGATGAGTGATGTCGACATATCGGGCGGGGGAGACTGGTCACTACATGTAAATGGCAACACGATATTTTTATTGTCATTTGGTATAGAGAGGGGTGCGTGACAATCATTTTGAGGTCGCTCGCGTCGTGAGCTAGACCCAAACACGTTTAACGCATATAAATTAATGCGTTTAAATCTCGTTGACCGTTCTATTCGCGTGCACAAGTTGTTGTAGCGCCTGCAGCCAGCTTAGCTTAGCGAGCGCGGCAAGGGGATGCCCCGCGCCCGACCCGACTAAAGTTATTGGTTCTGAAATTAGAACCGTGCTGGCTTTTTCCTCTCTGCTCTGTGGTTTCCGACCGCGCGCCCCCTACTGCCGTGCCGGACTGACTGCAGCGGAGGTGTCATATTGCCCCTCCCCCCCTTACCCCTTGCGACAGTCAGCGAATTAGTCACCTGACCTCAACATCACACTGTGCCTTGATCACACACACCGCGTCGGCGACGAGGCACGTCTGGCTGTGGGTCCCGTTCGAAGGGGGCCGTCGACGAGCAGTCAGCCGTCCCCCGCGGCCCCGACCATGACGATGGCACCCACCAGGTGGCGGCCGATTAACCTAGCGCACTTGTGTAGTTATACCGTATGTACTGCATGCAGGCGTGCGGGGAGTTTGCCCATCCTCGCTGACCACGGTAAATCCCACGGCCCTCCGGCCGGATAGGCAACCCGCCTGCATGTCTGTTTTGCGGTACAGTGTAAACTATTAGAGTGCCCGGGGTTCATCAGCCACCTGGCGTTTCGCCTCTCCGCACTTACATTGCAAGTTTTTGGCCCGTACTCTACCGCCGCTCCGTGGACACGGGACAGTGTCCGTGCGAGCTCCGTGCACTCGCTGCGCTGCATCGGCAAGGTGTTGCCTCAGTGCTGGTGCGGCACTTGCGTGCGCGCGTGTGCAGCTTTTAGCTTTTGTGCAACTGAAACACGACAGCAGGGAGGGACAAAGACGGGAGGTCGGGCCGGGCCCTGGGAAAGTAAAGGAGCGAACGGAGGAGGTGCGCAACGTGTGCAAGAAAACGACGATTAACCCCCCAAACCGTTTTCCTCATTTTTCTTTATTATTTTTTTTTTTATTTTTTTCTTGTGAGTGCGCAGTGTCACGCCCACCGTGCCCATCACAGGTAACGAGGCTTGTCACACGATAATGGCAGAATGGGCTCGCGCGCGCCCCGCCCAGCTGCGGCTGTGTCGGCTGTATGGGCGCGACTATAGCCCTGCCCGGCGGGCCCCCGCGGCTCCCACCGCACGCCGCCCGTCACACACACAGTAGCGAAATTATATGGTCCTCTGAGTGAGCGAGCTCCTACATTCGGATGCGCGGCGTATCCTGTACACAACACAGGCGACGACGACGACGCGGGGCACATGTGACTATAAAGAAAGAGAGAGAAAAAAAGAAGAACGCCAGGAAAATATTTTCTGAATATTTTCAAGGTGTTGCTCTAACCTACAGCAAGCGTATGAGGTGGGCCAGAAAAAAAATGAGGAGGAAAAAATCGTATGGTGAAATCGTCTCATGCGGGTCGTCCCTCGGCGATGTGATTTCTCCAAGGATTTCTCCGCGTAAAACTCATGCAACGCGCACGCCTATTCGAGCAGGGTGGACCATTTGTGCAGTTTTAGCAATTGTGAAATGTCGCTGCAGCGCTGCTTTTATTTCGTTTATTTAATGTTTTTCTGCCCCAATAGCACAACAGCGCCGCATGTCCTGTCGTGCCCGTGGCGCGGCGCCCCGCGGCTCTCCGTCACGCGATGCTGGGCTCTGGCGGGGTGCGGAATGCGAGGAAAACGTCATCGCGGTCGAAAAGGAATGGCGCTGCAGCCGGCCAGCTGGGGCCCCCGCCCCGCCCGCCCCGCCCCGCCCTGGATGGGTGCTCGACCGTGTGCGTACGCGCCCCCCGCGCCCCCACCCCGTGTCTGCACCGCGCGCTGCCTGCACATGATGCCATATGTCAGGCTCATGATGTATGATTACTCCTCCTTAGCAAATGATACACATTTTAAACATGAACTCGCTCAACAACGCAATACGCTTTCTTTGTGAGGGAAATGCCACGGAGATGCGGCAAATGTGAAGCACACTTTTATTCTCATAGGGTGCTATTTGAAGGGGTGTACTTGACGGCTCGGGTCGCTGTCGGGTGTGGACGACGGGGTCGGACGGAGGTAACTGGATCTGCTCCCACGATAGCCGCTCGGTGGAGGGGCACTCTCGGGGGACGATGGACGACTCACTTGTCGCCTGCGATTGTCACTCTATCCCGGCCAGACACAGTACGCGCATACGCCGCCCCATTGTTATTGTTGTAGGAGTTGCGGTCGGTTAGGCGCCTGTTGGTTAGGCAACAGACGGCCACGCTGCTTGGGCGGGTGGCCTACCCTCGGACCGTCAGGCGTCAGGGGCTGGTATAGGACGGGAGCGAGAGAGAGGAGGAGGGAGCGGTTGTTTCCAGGGCGTGCTATCCGCCGCAAACAGGCAGCAGCATGAGCCAAGCAACGGAAGGGAGAAGTTTCGCTGCAGTGTCGTGATGAGCACGACACATATATGTGACCCACATATTTCAATGAACAAATCAATGGGAAATCGATATTTTCTTTTCAGGATTGTAGGGCAGGGTGTAAAGTTTGCGCACTTGCGCTAGAAACAAGATTTTGTTGTTTTGAGAGACCGCGACAAGAAAGGTATTTTCCGCGGTGCCGTTATAGTTCTTACACAGAAAGCACATTTCACCCTTCCATGGACCCACCCTCGCGAGCTCACAAGTCTCAAAAGTAGCACAGCAGAGCGCAGGGGGGCGTCTTGTTTCGCATCAACTTCCTGTGGGCCGTCGCCGTCGCCATGGGACATGGGATGCCGCGGAGGGAGACGACAACGCCCGCCCCCCGCTATCGTCACTTTGTCAGCTCCAAGCAGGGAGACGCATCGTCTGCACCGCATGAGGGCTTCCTCCATGGCTTCCTCACTCTAGTGTCCCGCTTATCTTGTCGTACCCTTTATGATATGGATGCTCCGCACGACAGCCCTCTCTGTTATCAAAGTTATCACAGATAATGCGAGGCAAAATAAAACCGGACGCGGGAGGCAGGCGCGGCCGCGGCCGCTTCAGTTTCAGAGATGTCATGTCAAATTCGCGTGAGCATGATGATGAGTCACTCGTACGAGTTATCGCGGTCGGAACTGCATTTCTCAGTAGTATAATAACAATAATAATGTGAAAGCAGCTCGTACGTATATCGCATTGTCGGAACTGAGGCGCGTGGAAGACCGGCGGGCGTGAGCCCAAGGCGAGGGGAGGAGGTCACCGGAGGTCACTGCCAGCCTTGCTCCGCCCCGCGGCCTGCGACCGCCTGCGTCCCACTGATAACGAGAGCGAATTGGATAATTGTCACCACACATGATGCACTGTGATGTGTGCCATGTCAGCTTGCAGATGAGAGGAGAGGGGTATGGAGGAGGCATTTACACAGTTATGACAAAAACGTCGACGAATATACCTGAAATCAGCTTGTTTCGGATTTATTTTCTCAGATGACAAAAAAGTGTGCGCTCGTGTTTCTTTGCTATGGGAGCGTGGTGCTTGCTGCGGGGGGAGTGCGCGTAATCGGCCGGTACGTGCCGTGCGTGCAGTCGCGATGTGACCACAGCCAGCTGACGACGAGCACGAGCAGAGAACATCGCCAGCCTTTGTCCGGGGCGGAGCAGCAGGGAAGCCCACGACCATAGCCGTGTTGCGCAAAGCGATGAGCGGGCATCACTTAAACAACATCCCGGCAGAAAGAGCAAAGAACCAGGTCGGATGTTAATTTGGAGCCGGCAGCGGGGAGATTCCCATCGGGGTCTTCCTTCTCTCGCCTCTGCCTCTACCTCTACTGCTGGTGCTGGTGTGCCAATGAGGATGAGAGGTGTAGGCGCGCGCGTACTTTACCGAATCCGCTTTCGGTAATAATGTAATATTCTTTTTTTGTCGTCCATTGGCGACGCCCATCTCGCAACTCCCGGAGCTGCCTGCGCGTCCCTCAGAGAACGATTCGCACAAAAAAGCTGACGAAGTGCCTCTCCCTGTGTTGCTCGGCCCTTCCTCCTGCCGCAGCAGCAGCGGCTGCGTTTGGCAAGGAACCCGTCGAAGTGGTGTCGGTGCGATCCTGCGTCTCATTACACGTTACCCAACGGGTGCAATGGAGAAAAGGAGGGCCGATGCTAAAGCTGACTGGAGGCCCTGGAGGCATGATTTGGACCAAGATGAAGCTGATGCGGAGGGGGAGGCTGATGGTGCCGGGAAGGAGTGAGCTTGTGGCTGGACCAGCCGGAGAGGAGGCTGGCAAAAAGCTCTGGAGTTGCATCGCCGAGTGCAGTGGGACTGCAGCGCAGCCTCCATGGCGCAGCTGCACTGGAGTAGATGAGAGTGGCCTTGAGCGCTCGCCGCGTCGCGGGCTGGAGTGTGTGTCAGGTGCGGGGCTGGAACGTGCCTGCCTGCCTATGGAGACGAGCTGCAAAAAAAAAAAAAAAAATTACCTTTGTAGTACCTATGGAGTCGTCTATTTTGCGTAACGCTCGAGCAGGCTCCCACTCTAATCGCCTGTGACGTGTGCACGGCGCTGGTGGGCGCCGCCTGGAGCCGCTCTCCAGGTGGGACTGGAGCGGGGGGCAATTTGTGTGCGGGGCATTCCTGATTAATGTGGGGACCGGTGGTGTGGGGCGGCCGCGCTAGAAAGCGAGGAGACCTTCTCATGTGTTATAACCGACGCCGATCACTACACTTTCGTTTTCATTCACTGCGACCCAACCGTGGGGAGGAAATGAGAATATGCACTTATTTCTGATATAATGAGCAGAACGATGACACACAGCAAACACCACGCCGTTGGGCTCGACCGTGTCGTCCATACGCGGACTTTCCTGACTTTCCTGCTGCCGCCCCGTATGACTCCCCAAGCATCGCCTGCCCCCCGCCCCGCCTTGAGCAACAGAGTTTGGCTCCGCCAGACCACGCCCCGTGCTCCCGCCCCCACCCGCCCCTTTGCAACTCGTCCGACATCCGTCTGTTGGTTGCCGCTGTTGCCAAACTAGATATGCAGTGTACCGTCCCAACAAACACTGTCGTGCTAAAGTGTCGCAGTGGGGCGTGGCGTGGCGTGGGGCGCGGGTGGCGGGTCACCGTCCCGCACACAGTAGTATAGAGCAGCCCCCCTAGAGAGCTCGTCAGGGTGAGGGAGGATGCTGCTGTCGCCTGCTTGCGCTGTCTCCGGTATGTCAAGAAGAGTCTGGTCTTCCCTCTAGTGTCTGGAGCGTGCCTCCCCCCTCCACTCCCGGTCCCCTGTTTTTCTATTAATTCCCTGCCTTCCCCCTCTCTACACTGTCGGCGCGGGACGCGAACGCGGTGCCTCCTGTCGCGTGCTGCTGCTGCTGCTCTGGCTGGCCGCGGTTCCGCGAACCGCGAAGATCGCGGCGTGGCGTGGCGTGGCGTGGCGCGGTGACTCAGTTGTAATTCGCGCGCTACGCGACGCCGCGCCGTGTTTGAACCGCTTTCCGCGCGCGCCGCGGAGCGAGGAGCGAGCCGAGCCGGCGCTTTATTGTCGTCAACATTTTGCGGAAACTGAACCAGCAGTAGCAGCAGGAGCAGCAGCAGTGAGGCAAGAGAGATCGTCTTACCTCCTCTCTCTGCCCTGCCGCTGCTCTTTCTTGCTGAATTAACAGCAGATAACGAGTGTGAATCACCAGCCTCGTCTACGCACACAAACTAGCGAATAGCTGCAGTGACAAATTGAAACGAGCTAAATAGAATACGTAACAATCCTTTGTGGGTACGCGTACTGTACAGTACCTTAGTTCTTCACACTCGATGATTAATGTGTTATTTAGAATGATAACCCAATAGGCTGGCGCAAGAAAGATTCGTGATACGATGCCATACCATGTGTTCCTCCATTTTTAGAGAGGAGATGAAGCTCGCTGCGAAACTATGAGGTACTCGAAACATCTTGGCTCTGGCGGGAAGTAGACTGTGACGGGCGGGAGCAGCCGGGCGGGGCGGGGCGCTGGCCCACCCGGCGGGGGAAGCACCACGCCGCCCGCCGGCCGGCATACGGCCCCCGACTGAACTTGAATCTCGCTCAAACTTGTGGGATTGCTCCGATAAGTGGGTCAGGACTCCTTGCGGCTCGTAAAAGCTTCGCGCGCTGAGTGGGGCGCGCGTGGCCGGGCCTGCCGGGCGCCTGGCCGGACCTTCCTGCGTGCCGTTCCCACCCGTAAAAGTCGCCACCGGTCACGAGGGCGCCGTAGGTCGCGTCATTATGCGGTGTACAGTATTGTTTTCAGTAGTTTCCTTCACCTTCACTTGACCGGCGCAGCGGGTGCCACACGGTTGTTATAGCTCTCTCGTGTGTCCAAGATTCATGAATTATCTTTTTTCGCCAACGCGCGCGCTTTTCCCACGAGCCCGGTGGTAAAACTTGTGATGCTCCGACGACGACGAATCATCACCCGGAAGAAGATGAAGCAGCGAGTAGTAGTAGGAGGCCGTGCCGCGGTTGGTAGGAGTGACCAGAGCCACGTCAGGCGGGCCGCCCGCGCGTCGTGCCGTCGCTGTCGTTACCATCGGCAGGTGAGATGAAGATGACTTGGCTGAGTACGTGTCGCGGTGCGAAACATGGTGCGGGCACTAATGAGAAGATTATGGTGAATTTCACTGTAAGCTCGAGGTGAAGTTACACTGAAAACCCAAGTGTACGAATGTCACACACCTCCATGTGTGCGACAGAATTTTAACACACCTGCATATGCGTGAATTACCACATGGGGGCAGGTTAGGGCTACCTTTTTAAGTTTACGAATCGTTTACGAATATCTATTCGCTCACCTACTAGTGTGAGCAGGGTTGTTACAGACCGTGAAAGTCAGGGAAAGTCAGGAAAAGTCAGGAATTAGAAAATGGGTCAGGGAAAGTCAGGAAAAGTCAGGGAAATTGAGAGGGCAGTCAGTAAAATTTCTCCGGTTGACTGCCTTCTTGCAAATGAATTAGTGAAAATGCGCAAAATTGACGCTCGAGCTGCGGCAGCGGCACTTACCGGGCCCTGCCGGTGCAGCCAGTCGCCGCTTTTGTGCATTCTCTTGTTTTCAGTGGTATTTTCCCTACCGTTGCTCGGAGTACTGCCTACTTTCTTGCCTACAAAGTCAGTAAAAATCGCGATTTTGTTCAGGGAAAAGTCAGGGAAAAGTCAGTAAAATTGAAAATCCAGAACCTGTAACAACCCTGGTGAGGATATTTTGTCGCACACCTTCTAGTGTGTGAGTTTTTTCTCTCTCACCTGCGTGTGTGCGACATTCATACACTTGGATTCCCAGTGTGACCGTAAGCTTTTAACAGTGGGCCAGCTATGGGCTGGGATAGGCTGAGCTGGCTGGGCTTGTGCGACCGCAGCCAGTCAGTAACAGCGGGGTCCGCGACCTTGCAAACACCAGCAGCACGAGACCCACCGCGAGCGTGCCGCCGTCTCGCTCGCTCCCCCTCCCACCGTGCGCCCCTCTCCAGGTACCTACTGCCTAATGACAGAGGTGGCAGGTGGACGCTACTCATTATAGGCCGCCCCTTTGACTTTGACTCCGCGTACACTTATTAGTACGCAGTCCACATACCCGTACCCCCGCGTCGTGCCAGTTTTAGACGGCCGCCCCACCTGCAGGTGGTAGCGTACGCGGTCAAAAAAAAAATCTGAAGGAATAAGTGTAGTATATACCTTAACTAATGTCGCTTACAGGATTCTTTTTTGCGGTTCACGACGCAATCTCCCCCCCTCCACCACGTACAACGTGGCTGCCATTGCCACTCAGAGCGCAAGCTGATGATACATTGCACCTCGCATATTACACATATTACACATAGTGATGGCAATTTCAGTATTGTACCGTGTGTAGAGGCTAATACTCCTCAGTGTTGCGGGCTTGCATACCCAGGGGGCCATGGCGCCTTACGGGCAGACCGAGTAGGCAAACCCGCAACACTGTGGTGTATTGCCTTTACACACGGTCAGGCGGTACAGTATTGAATGCATCGTCTGCTAAAAACAACCAAAAATAGGTCGTTTTATTTTACGTCTCGCGTTTGCTTGTGCGCGGGTCGTTACTCTTTCGCAGTAAGGTGGCGGGGCAGTTATCGGAGGTGATAAACACCGGATAAGAATAGACGCGATGCTCATTTTGCACTTGTGTTGGTGGGTGCGTGGCGTGGCTGGGGCTGGGTGTGCTTGGTCGCTTGGTCGGGGAATACCAACCTGGTTCGAACGTCGATAACCGCGGTGCGGCAGCCCCCCCC